CAGGCCACTCTCAGACAGGGTTCTCACACAGCATATACACCTAGAAACAGGGCCTGCTTCTCCTCTTGCTTTCACCAGTTTTACACTGCCATATAGCTCCACTGACTTCAATGAAGTTATTCCAGCCTGAGGGCGAATCAACTTCAGAGTTACTGATTTCATAGTCAACAATTTCCAAAACATCATCTTGCAAACAACAGTCCTGGGGAAGTTGGTGCAAACATCCGACTGTTCAATCTCTTATTTCACCCTTTCCAGTTTGAGAGACAGTTTGACTGAAACAAACAACGCTCAGATCAGTGACCAGAGGCTCCTACATGTCAGACATCAGCTCTCAATGCCTGGGAGAACAAGTTCAGAGTAGCAGCCGTGTTAGTCTGAATTCAAAAAGAAAAGGAGGACTTGTGGCACCTTAGAGACTAACCAATTTATTTGAGCATAAGCTTTCGTGAGCTACGCTGTAGCTTATGCTCAAATAAATTTGTTCGTCTCTAAGGTGCCACAAGTACTCCTTTTCTTTTGGGGAGAACAAGGAATCACTCTACATATGTCTGGATTGTCTGCATTTGTCTTACTCATTGGTTTGGAAACCTTTGTGTATAAATAGATGCAGACCCGGACACTTTCTGTGATTAATGTTCCATTTTTCTTGAGCAACCCTCTCTGAGCTGGCCCGGCAAACGACAGGCGAAATGAAAAGCTGGGGCGGAGATCAGCCTGAATATTGCTGTACTGAGGATGAAGTTTGAAGAACCAACCAGGCAATGCCCGGGGGGAGTGGAGGGAGAGTTGGTTAACCCAGCAGGGAAAAGAGCTTTTCACTCGTACCCTGGGTGTTTGCCCCCGAATTCCCCCTCCCGGGAGTGTTTCCCCTGGTCCCAGGATCCCGGGCTGGGGGGCTCTGGCGCAGCCGGGCAATGCAGAGGGACTGGCTCTGAGGGGAGGGTGCTGGAGGGAGCTCGGGGAGGACGGGACGCGAAGGGGGAGAGCAGAGCCCTGACTTTCCCTCCGCTGAGCGCCGGGCGCTGCGAAGCCCCGCTCAGCCCGAGGGCCGGGCACGCCGGGCGCTGCCGCGGGGAGCTCTGACCGCCCCTGGCGCCTCGGGCAGCGCCCCGCCATCCCTCCCCGGCCTGGCAGGGCGCTCGGGCTGCCCTGGCTCGGCCCCGCAGCCGGGCCCACGTGCAGGGGGCCGCCCTACCTGGCTGCTGCGGCGGCGGCGGTCCGTGCGCTCGGATGGCATCGGTGCCACTGGCAGGGCAGGAGCCAGGCTGCACGGGACCCCTCGCCGCCCTCTCCCCGGGCTGGGGTTCGAGTCACCGCCTCCTCCGCCGCCGCCAGAGCCCAGCCACCCTGCGGGCTCCCCGGGGCCCGGGCCCGGGGCTCCTTAACCCCTCCCTGCCCGCGCGGCAGCCGGGGCACGGGAGGCGGCTGGCTCGCAGCGTAGCCGCCTTTCCGCGCTGAGCAGGCGGGAAGGGCCGGGGGCAGGGGGGAGGAGGAGGGAAGGGATGAGCTGGGCCAAGACAGGGGCTGGGGCAGCTCCTGGGCAAGGCCGAGGGAAGGAAGGCAGCGGCCCAGCGAGGTGGTTCCCAGCCGGGTCCAGGCGGGGCCCCTCTCTGCCTATCCACACACACAAGTCTATCACCCCTTCCCCGTGTCCCCTGAAACTGAAGCCTTGTCTGCCAGTCTGCGCATCCCTGAGCTCGTCACTTTTCCTCAAGGCTACGATTTACATATTCACCGCCACTCTGACCCCCAGCTCTCCGACACTAAAATGTCCCTTTAAAGAGGATCCAGGCGCAACCCCCCGCCCTCCACCTCCGACCCCAACTCATATACTTTTAAAAGGACAAGACGAGAGAGGGAATTTGAGGATGATCTTTAAAGAGAGCTTTCAGATATTTCTGATCTTTTCCCAGGAAGGATTTTATTTTAAACATCTCCCTGGGATTTTTAAACGCAACACTGGAATTGAGGTTCACAAACAATTGAGAATATATAATTCAAGCAATTAGAAATACTGCAAATCAGTCACACGCCGACCAAACAACAGGCGCGTACTAGGATTTACACCTTCCGAAATGCAATAACATGGAAATAAATGATCATTCCAAGGAAGCATCACGGTTTTCCTGCAAGATACGCATTCATATTTTCTCCTGGTATGTGTATGTGACCGTTAAGTCGTTTTTTAATTAATTTTTTTATTTTATAAACCTATTTCCAGGAAATCAAATGGAGAAAATATGTCAGGTTCTGGCACACAAGTCTGGTATCAAATTAACGCCACCCAGGAGCGTACAGGGCAGACACTGCAAATAAACAGAACTGGAGAAACGGAGAGAATAAAACTCATTGCTACAGAAATTAAAACAAATAGCAAATTAAAAGCAGGAGAGAATTATTAACACGTATTTTGTCTCTGAAACAATGGCCCCATCCATCTGCTAGGAGAGGAATCCGTTTGCTTTTAATCCGACATTGGTTAAACTGCAGATTCAATTTGCAGATTCAAAATATTCTTACTGCAAAGGTAGGCGATGCTATTCCTTATTTTAATGCCAGAGATGGTTCTGTAGAGCCATCATTGTGGCACAGTCGGGTCCTTGACAATAATCATGAACAACAATAATAATTAATAAGGAGCCTAGCCTGCAGTCTTTATTTCGGCAAAACTCCCCTGGATGGAGTCCTTGAAACGTCCACTTGCGTATACAAGTTTTACTGACAGGGCTTTTTATAGCATAAAGCCAGCAGAAATACTTTGTCCTATCCCTTTTACGTGCGATTTAAACACCTGCGGCAGGGTTTGGTCAGATGGTAGTGGTATAAAGTAAATACAAAAACAATTAACAATTGTTAATTAAATTTCACTGAATGATTTCCCATCACCGAAAGTATTTTTAAATAACATGTTGTCATAAGAAACATTATTTTTATTTTGTAAATTCATAAGCAGAAAATCATTGCATTCTTTTAAACTGTGACCGCACTTATTTTTGTTTGGTCCCAGTACCTTATTTAGTAATTGTAAAGAGATTTTGGTTAAAAAAAAATTCGGAAAGGTTTAGTGATGCATTCGTTGAAAAACGGATGTGACTGTATATAACAATGTATTTATTGGTGGATGCTTCCAATCGGATTGTAAACAAAACAAAGCAGTGAGGTGCCAAGAAAAAAACATCAGGGCTGAACTGTAACATTAACTATTTCATAATTTATTTCTTTCAGATAAAAAGGGTGAGAAGAAAATTATTTAAAATATGATATTTAAAATATTTCAGGAAGGCAGGAAGAGACAAGGATTCGGGATTATTGTATTGCCGGAGGGAGGGAAAATTGAAGGGTAACATTGGCAAAATTAACCGAAAATTAATGGGAACAAATTAAAAGCTTTAGGACCAGAACCAAAATGTGAGATTTCTGTGCCTTGCTTGTATGTATTTTGTAAGCACATTTGTAAATAACTAATGCCAAAGGATTCCCAGGCGAAAATTCACAGGGAGGAGTTGGTTTCAACCTGCGAAGGTACAGACAGCTGGGCTGGCAGCAGACAGACGTTATCCCGCATGTACAGGAGAAAAGTAACCGAGCCTGCTCTGAGACTGCAGGAGGCCCCTGTCAATGGACTAACAGCTGCGTGACTAGATTAACGCTAAAAGAACAGGAGGACTTGTGGCACTTTAGAAACTAACCAATGTATTTGAGCATAAGCTTTAGTGAGCTACAGCTCGCTTCATCGGTCTGCGAGGCATTTTCCCGGCGTTATTCTGCACCAGCGGCGTCCCGCGGTGATGCGGGGAGGGTGCCCAGGAGACACCTGGCTCTGCAGAGCTCCCCAGCTCCCCGTGGCAGTACGGGACCTCCCCTCCGCCCCCGACACACCGAATCCCCTGGCCCCTCGCCAGCGCCAGGAACTCGATAATCGTTCCGGTGCGGCCTCGTACAGACAGGGGCACTGACGGTCCCTGGGCGTCCCGAAACACAGCCCGCAGCAATCTGGCTGCCTCCAGCCCCGGCCTGTCCTCGATTGTCTGTCTGTCTGTCCCACACACGCCCCGTCTGTGTGTCCCACACATGCCCCGTCTGTCTGTCTGTCTGCCCCCCCACATACCCCGTCTGTCTGTCCCCCCCCCCCCACCCTTTGTCTCTCTGTCCCACACAGGCCCCGTCTGTCTGTCTCTCTGTCTGTCCCACACAGGCCCCGTCTGTCTGTCTCCCCCCCACACCCAACCCCCCTTCTCTCTCCCCCCCCCCCCCCTGTCTGTCTGTCCCACACACGCCCCGTCTGTCTGTCTGCCCCCCCCCACATACCCGGTCTGTCTGTCCCCCCCACACCCCCTTTGTCTCTCTGTCCCACACATACCCCCTCTGTCTGTCCCATAGATACCCCGTCTGTCTGTCTGCCCCCCACACATAACCCGTCTGTCTGTCTGTCCCCCACACACCCCCTTTGTCTTTCTGTCCCACACACACCCCCTCTGTCTGTCCCATAGATACCCCGTCTGTCTGTCTGCCCCCCCACACATACCCCGTCCGTCTGTCTGTCCCCCACATAGGCCCTTTGTCTTTCTGTCCGACACACACCTCCTCTGTCTGTCCCATAGATACCCCGTCTGTCTGTCTCTCTGTGCCACACCCCCCTTTGTCTCTCTGTCCCACACATACCCCGTCTGTCTGTCTGTCCCATAGATACCCCGTCTGTCTGTCTGTCCCACACACGCCCCGTCTGTCTGTCTGTCTGTTCCCCACACACCCCCTCTGTCTGCTGTCTGTCTGTCCCACACATACCCCGTCTGTCTGTCTGGTCTACACAATGCCTCGCCCCCACTGTCTGTCTGGTACCCCTGGGTCTGTCTTTCCGTCTGCCCCACGCACGCCCCTGTCTGTCTGTCCCACAGATGCACCTGTCTGTCTGTCTGTCTGTCGCACCCCGGAGCGGTACCTGCTCCCCCCACCCCGGACTACAACTCCCAGGCTGCCCCGGGGCGGGCCTGGCCCCGATAAGCCGCCCGGGTTCCCGGTACCCTCCTGCCCGCTTCCGGCCCGGGAAGGCGGTTGGAGGCGGCGGGGAGCGGGCGGGTTTGAATCGGGCTGCGGGTTCACCCCCCTCCCGGCCCCGGGAGTCGCGGCCTGGCTCGGGCCCCGGCTGCGGCTCTGTGCGAGGCCGCGTTGTCAGGGGAACGGGGCAGGCCGCGCTGGGGCCTGGCTGCCCCGAGCTCCCCCCTCGGCCCGGCTCCCTCGGGGTCTGGGTGACGCCGGCCGCTGCCCCGGGCACTGGGGCCGCGGGGCCCGCGCACCGGCCCGGGAGCTCCCCGCGGCTGCTCTCCGGGGCCCGCCATGAATTTCTCGGAGGTGTTCAAGCTCTCCAGCCTGCTGTGCAAGTTCTCGCCCGACGGGAAGTACCTGGTGAGTGGCCCGGCGCCGCGGCTGGCCGGAGACCCGCAGCCCGGGCTCTGCAGGGGCTCGGCTGGCGTGTGCCGGGCCCGGCTCCCCCTGACACACACCCCGGGGTCGGGCCGGCCCCCGGCGCTTCTCGTTCTCCCACCTCCAGGGGGTGGGTTTCGGGCCGCGCCCCCCGACTCCTGCCTTGTGTGCGGTGGCTGCCTGGTCAGGAAACCGGCCCCCGGCCTGTCCCCAGCCACCAAGGAGCCTCTGCCCTTAGGTATGGGCCTCCTCTCAAACCGGGGGTCGCGGGGCTGCTACATGGGGGGGGGGGGGCGAGCTGCCAGCCTCCACCCCAAGCCCCCTTTGCCTCCAGCATTCATGATGGCGTTAGATGGATAGAAAGTGGTTTTAGTTCACGAGGGAGCCGCGCTCCCCGACTTGCTGTGTGCCAGAGGTCACCCGGGCAAAAGCTTGAGAGCCGCTGCATGAGATCCTCCTGTAGAACCCGCCGAACTGACAGGAAATGTGTAACTGAAGCGAGAAACGATTTGTAGAGGCATGTGGGTTAGTGAACCTCTAGCCGAAAGGTATTCACTGCGAATAGGAGACTCAGTTTTGTTTTTTTTAAAAAAAAGGAATTCGAAACAAAGTACGAGTGAAACTGAGAGTGACTGATGTCTAGGGAATCTGTCATCAGGGCAGAAAACAGTCAACGGGGGTCTTGCAATGTAAAATGTAATTGTTCTATCAAATAGTAAATGTCTTTTAAAATGTAACATTTTATTTTGATGAACACACTTTTTTATTCTGAAGGTAATGATCTTGTAGTGATGTTCCTAACTAGTGATACATTTGATATAAACACTTTTGTGTGGAAATTACATGTGGAAATAATGCATTATTAGTATAACTGTTGAGACTCATTAAATGCATTCAAAAGCAATGTTAATATTGATCACAAAATTTAAGATTTTACTAGCAAAAACTAAATTTAATCTTCCTGGGATATTGTATATTTCTGTTAACCACTTACTTATTAAGGGGCTTTACCAACTTTTTTTAGTTTCCTAATAAAACTATTTAAATCTTTAGTAAAATTTGCATTTATCATCCATTCCTATACCCAGTGTATATAACCAAACAACAACAGACATGCACCTAACTTTGATGCTGCTGTTAATAACCTTTTTAATGTACAATCAAAGTATTGTATAGAAAATTGGTCACTAAGATTGAACTGTTTTAATGTTCCTCAACCCTAGATATTTCATTACATACAAACAACCCCCTCCGTTGTTGTTGGTTTAAGGGAGAGTATGCTTACAGCCATTAATACTGTGTGGATTTTAGTTAATGAAAAACGATCCTTCACATACCTTACAATATTTTTTCATTGTGAGTAATAGCAGCTGTTATAAAAAAATATATAGAAACGTCTGTATTGGCCTTCGTGCTTTTTGAAGCAACTGACTTTTGTCTTGAGAGGCAGTAATTATTGGGGGGAACGGGACGACACACTCCCTTGTTTTGCTTTGTGTAAGAATTAGCCGTAAGTTTAGCAGTAGGAATCCATAAATGTATTGTTCAAATGAGTCTTAAAAGCCACCATTTTACTGAGCTTTTTTTTGAAAGCTGCAGGGAAAGGTATCCTGATCCTGCAGCTATGGCACCGCACTGAGTCAGGAGACCTGCGTTCTGTTCCCAGCTCTGCCACTAATTTGCTGGGTGACAATGGGCAAGTCACTTCACCTCTCTGCCTGTGTTTCCGCTCCTTCCCTTTCTGCCTTGTCTAGATAGATTGTAAGCTCTGTGGTATGTAGGGACTGCTCTACAGTGCCTAGCATAACAGGATCCCAATGTCAGTTGGGGCCTCTGGGTGCTACCATAATAGTGAACCTGAGGGAGAGACAAATAGCAGATCACTTAGTCTTTTGCAATCAAATCCCTGTACTTTGTGAGCTGGTTTCTATACTGCAGATGATAAAAAAGCATGACTAACTTTTTAAAAAAAAATTAGTTTTAGCAAAACAATTTAGTGAACAGTCTAGTTACAATATATAACCTTCTCTAAGTTTTAACTTCTATTTTGCTCTGACCGTAAAGATAATGTTGTACAGTATTAAGTATTATAGTGACACCTACTGGTGATCAGTTTCTTCATTACTTGCAGTTACTGTACATTAGTTTCTTCATCGCATAAAACTTCACTTTGAACTGACTGACTGTCAGACAAGATCACAGCCCAAAAATTGAATGTTCAGGATCAGGCTTGTTCCCAGTGACATCATTGGGACCAAGATGTGCCCCTCAGTGTTTTATTTAAATTAAAAATTAAAAATATTTCTAATGCACTGGTTTAGTTATGAGTCAAAACAAAAAATTGCAAAGTTTAGACCCATTGTCTGTATTGTTTGAAGACACTTTTTAAAATCTTGAGGCTCTGATCCTGCTATGAGTTCTCAGTTGTGCAATTGCTTACATGTGTGTTACTTCACTTGCATGTTATTCACTTACTCCAGAATAAGGCTGTAGCCAATTTTTCATTAAAAGGAAAACATGAAATGGAAGAAAAATAGTTTTAAGAAGTAGGTGCAATTGACTAGTATAAATAGTAGTAATGGAGCAAACAGATATTTTTCCTTACTTATATAGGCCCTAGTCCTGAAAATACTTAAGCAGCTGCTTAACTTTTATGACTAGTGTCATTATAATAACCCATCCCTTTTTTTGTTTACTTTATGCATTTGATGATGCTTTCTGTATAGTCAGTTTACTGAGTTTTAAGGGCACAGCAAAAGGGGGGGGAGAGGGAGAAAATAAACATTTTAAAATAAGAAAATTGACTCTGAAGTCACAAAAATTTACTGGGGGAAAGTCAGGGACATGTGCAATATCTGAAGCTACTTTAATTCATTTTTGAAATTGACTAGATTCAAGTTGATTGTATCATCTTGGAAAACAACAGTTTTTGTGATAGAAATGTTTGAAAACGTTTTTGTACTTTAAATGTAAAACAAATTTAGTACCTTTTTAAAATAAAAAGTTTGGCCTGAAACCAAACATTTCTATCCTTCAGCCTTAAACACATAGGTGAGTTTTGTAAACTCTTAACAAATACATTAAAATCATCTAACATTTGCTTTGGATTAATCTCTATTCACCTTCTTTTGCAATTGGTTGTGTAGCTCATAACAAACCTACAAATCCAAAAGTATAAATCCTAGTGCATCCAAAACATCTAAACTCTAGATCAGTGTGGTAGAGAGTGAATGATGCAGCTCAAGTCCTGGCACTCTTAAGTCTCAGTTAATAACTCTGATATGGGTGCGTCAGTTAAGCAGTTTATTTTTGTTTGCATTCAGGCTTCGTGTGTGCAGTACCGTTTGATAGTTCGAGATGTGAACAACCTCCAGATCCTTCAGCTGTATACTTGCCTGGATCAGATCCAGTACATAGAATGGTCGTCAGACTCTCTCTTTATCTTGTGTGCCATGTATAAACGAGGGATTGTTCAGGTAAGTACAGATACAGCATCGTGTATTGTTTCTGTCTAAAATTTACTAACTACTAAATTGAGAACTTCTAATGTCAAGCACTAATTGAGTGTTTTTGCCAAAGTAACTGATACTCTGATTAATAACACATGGTTTGAAGAAAGTCGAGGTTGCTACTGTTTGTCAAAACCTTGATTAAAAGGTTATTTGTTAGTCTGAAGATAAATAACATCAGAATAAAAACACTTGGAGCAAATGTGTAAAAACAAAAGCTGCTACCAAGTATCTCATATATCTGTTATTTCAGAAGGAATAAATACATGCAGACTCTTATTAAAGGGAGCAAAAGCTTTAAAAAGGATGGTATTCAGAAAACATGACAGAAGAAAATATGCTTTATGACTTGTGTTAATGCACAGAGATGTGCAGCTTACTTTTGTAATGGGATCCAGCGCCAGTCCTTCATGGCCAAAGGCTTTCAAAGGTTTCCTGACCCCTTGGTATGTGTTGATGGAATTTTCTTTCTTAGCTGTAGCGTGGCTCTGTGATGAGAGGGAGGTTTTGGTGTGCTATTCAGTTTGCTGCACTGACTAGTCTCTCTGACCTAGGTCTGGTCCTTGGAGCAGCCAGACTGGCACTGCAAGATTGATGAGGGGTCAGCAGGATTGGTGGCTTCGTGCTGGAGTCCGGATGGTCGTCATATTCTCAATACAACCGAGTTTTACGTAAGTGTGAAGTCATGATTGTTCTGTAGAGTATCCTATTACTGCCTGCACACCGCATCTAAAATAGCCTAGAGCTCTTAAAGCTGTAGTGTTCTATTAATCAATGTATATGCACATTTTTTTCCTTGTTTTAGATCATTCTGATTTAATCACCGCTTAGTTCTTTTACAGTTTGCTTTCTGATTTTTTTTTGGTGAAAAGGTGGAATACTGAACACTCATGCCTTTCAAAATGAAATTATGCATTTAAAAAAAGATGTTAAAGAACTGGCAAATGTGACCAGAAATTCAAATTTGGGCAAAAAAACAATACACAAACTTTTTTCCAAAATCTGTGAACAGAAATGTTTCTAAAACTCTAACGGGAACAGTTATTTTTAAACAGATTTCCTCCACTAAGGCATTAAGAGTATGAAATTGATAGTAATCTATCTGATTTTAATCATCCAAGCTGAGGGATGCAAAAAGTAAGCATGAAAAGTAATACATAAGCAGAATTTTTTTAAAATATAGTTCAAGTAATTTAGTGTGATCCGAGTAATATAGGTTTACGGCATGCTTTTTAAGTAAGAGTGCCCTTTTAAATAAAAATAAGGCAATGCTGTTTAGATAAATTACTTCTAAGACTTAGAACCTGACCTGCAGAAAGTTCCACATATGCTTAACTTTACTCATGTGATTAGTCTTATTGATTTCAATGGAACTTCTTGCAGGACTAAAATTAAACATGTATTAGTGCTTGTAGGATAAGAGCCTTAGTCTGGAATCCTAGCCAAGATATGACACTGAGTTTGGTCAGTATGAGCCTGCTTCAAAGCTCACTGAAAACAGTGGGAGGGGTTTCATAGGTGTTTTCAGAACTATATGATTTGATCAGAGCTCAGAGCAGTAACAGTAATAGTGAAAAGAAGCTAAGAACTAAATACAGTAAATTTGCCTTGCCACTGTACCTGTTCTCTGAATATTCATAAACTTCATATACCAGGGTTGTCACACCAGCAGCTTTTACCAGCACTAAATTCACTTTTTAATCCAACAAATTCATAGTATCTGTGTGCTGCAAAATTCTTTAATGCTTATGGAGATTTCACCTGTCTGGATATGAGTATCTTTTTAGAGGTAAAGGTGAGGAAATGACTTGAGAGGAAAAATTCACTTCTTCATTCTACACAGTGGACCTTGATTCCTATATCTTGTTTGTTTTTTACATGTATGAAATTCCCATTATCATCCATGGGAGAAGCCCTGTGCTGGCAGGGAGAGCAGAATATTGGAGTTGGTATCTTTGCTGTGGATATGAGAAGATGATTTTGTGTGTGGATGGTAGAGAGTTAATGCAAGCCTGGAATGCTAACATTTCTAAGTGAGTGTGAGAGTGAAATTGAATACAGCCAGAAAATATTTCATGACCCACACACTGGGATTTTTAAATGAGTTTCACAAGGGAGTTTTTGGTGTCCAGTGTAGAGGGAGAACAGTTTTCTGACTATAAATCAGCACTTCCTTTCTTTTTCCAGGGGACTGTGGTGACTACACAGTGATGAATCCAGGAAAGAGTTTCCCCGTTTTGGTTGTCCTTGGTGGGGATAAAAATGAGTCCGGTTGTTCAAACTAAAGACAGACACATGTCTAATAGGCAGGATTGTTGTAGTTTGAGTAACCAAAACTGTGGGCGGCTCCTGCTGCTGCATGCTACAAGTAGGCTCATAATGGAACATGCATGCGGGGGTGGACTAGTGAGTTTTTTTTTTTTTTTTTTTACCACCTATCAGAACTCAGTTTGACCCCACAGGATTTCATTTAAGCCTTTGCCAAGTTGGCATCTGTGCTAGGATAGTTTTTCTCTCCAGCTGTAAACAGGTTGCTAAATTAACTTGTGTCAGACAGCTGCTTGGGTTATGCTGGTGTCTGTGTTGTGTTTACTCTCTAGTATGCTATATCCATAGTCTCTACCGGGACAGACGGTGTTTGAGACAAGAAATAGCAGGATACTTAATATCATCATATTATGTACATTATCAAGTTCAAGGATCATTTGAAGGCTTTAAAGGTTCTGTGTTAACCCACACTGCTCAGATTTGGTAGTCTGACATTTTAATATAGAACCAACTAATTATGACTCATACTTGTAATTCTTCAGGTCAATATATATGCTCCAAAATGGGTTCACGAATATTTTTTCATGTTATTTTAAACACATTGTAGTTTAAAAAAAAAAAAAAAGTGATAGTGGTACTTTGTTTCTAGCTACTTGTGTGATTTATAACTCTCTATAACTAAACTGCATTATTTTCATAGTGGGTGTTCTGTATGGTATATGAATTATAAACAAAGTATAGTTCATAACACTGATTTTTCTGATCTGATCGGCGTACAAGAAACCAACATCTAACTTAAAATAAATGGGAGACTTTTCCATGAATACTTCGAGGTCCATTACTGCTCATGGTGTGCAAACTCGGTAGTGGATACCTTTTTGAGACACGTAGCATTATGCTGTATGTATCTAAGATCAATGCAAATCTGAAAATGTTTCAGTTTAAACTTGTTTCATTGCAAATGAGAATCCTTCATACATATAATACACCATATATCTGAGACCAAACATTATGGCATAGTATCCAGTAATACAAAATGCTACAGGTAAATGGAATCATAGGACTGGAAGGGACTTCTAGTCCAGTCCCCTGCACTGAAGGCAGGACTAAGTATTATTTAGACCATCCCTGACAGGTGTTTCTCTAACCTGCTCTTAAAAATCTCCAGTGACTGAGATTCTAACACTAATATCTAACGCTTCACACGAATGATGCAATCAAAACATGCAGAATGGTACACAGGTCAACTCAGTGACACGGTCTTACTGGAAATAGAGTATAGAAAAGTGCTGTACCTATAACTTTTTTTTTTTTTTTTTTTGGCTGAGTACTGCCCAGCATTGTCATTGGTATGGGTATTTATGGTATATTGAGTTTAAACAAAGCTGAGCACAAATCCCTAACTTACATATTTTCTTTTTTGTGTCTTGTTTTGCTGCCTAGTCTTTTTAATTGAAGTTAGCCTACACTTTATTGACTAAAGGTCCTGGAAAACATTAATCCGTGGTCAGCAACTTTTTGATCATTGAATTTGGTCCACTGAATCCAGCATCAGCCACTGTATCTCATTACAGATAACAGCAGAAGAGATACTATTTCCATCAAACTTCTAAAAGCAGCAGTTGATAGCAAATATTTAAATAGGTGTGAAAAAATAGCATTACAAAACATTGAGTACTATTTTACATAAGGAATGTGTTAACAAGGGATACCATTTTATGTAACTGTTGGATAAAGAACCAGCTATATTAGGGATGACAAATGGTAATGTTTAATTTAATGAAAGAGTCCCATACAATTACATCACATAATAGCAAGCAGACAATTTTTTTAAGTGCTTAAATACGAATACTAGAAGTCTAAATGTGAAGATGAAGTGCTGTGTCGTGTGTTTAAATGAGGATATTGACATAACCAGCATCACAGAAACTTGGTGGAATAAGGATAATCAATGGGACACAGTAATACCAGGGTATAAAATATATCGAAAGTACAGAATAAGTTGTACTGGAGGGGGAATGTTACTATGGTGTAGAGTCAAATGAAGTAAAAGTCTTGCTGACCACCTGACCAGGATGCTGTGACAGTGAAATGCTCAGGGAGATTAGAGAGGCAATAAAAATAAACTCAGTAACAATGGAGAATTTCAACTATCCCCATATTGACTGGGTACATGTCACCTCAGGACAAGATGCAAAGATAACGTTTCTTGACACCTTAAATGACTGCTTCTTGGAGCAACTAGTTCTAGAACCCACAAGAGGGGAGGCAATTCATGATTTAGTTCTAAATGGAGCACAGGATCTGGACCAAGAGGTGAATATAGCTGAACCGCTTGGTAATAGTGACCATAACATAATAAAATTTAACATCCCAGTGGGGAGGGAGAGGGCAAGGACACCAAAGCAGCCCACCATGGTAGAATTTAATTTGAGAAAGGGGAACTACACAAAAATGAGGAAGCTAGTTAAACAGAAATTAAAAGTTACAGTGCCAAAAGTGAAATTCCTGCAAGTTTAATGGAAACTTTTTAAAGACATCATCATAGAGGCTCAACTTAAATGTATACCCCAAATTAAAAAACATAGTAAAAGAACGAAAAAAGTGCCACCGTGGCTAAACAACAAAGTAAAGAAGCAGTGAGACAAAAAGGCAAAAAACTTTTGAAAGTAGAAGTTTAAATCCTATTGAGGAAAATAGAAAGGAGCATAGATTCAGGCAAATGAAGTGTAAAAATATAATTAGGAAGGTCAAGAAACTTTTTGAGTCTTTGGCTAGCTGTTCTTCAAATTCTAACAGCAAAAAAAATTAAGTACATCAGAAGCAGGAAGCCTGCAAAACAAACAATTTAGCACTCGAGATGCTAAAGGAGCACTCAAGGAAGATGAGGCCATAGTGGAGAAACTAAATGAATTCTTTGTGTCGGGCTTCACAGCTGAGGATCTGAGGGAGATTCCCCAACCTGAGCCATTCTTTTCAGATGACAAATCTGAGGAACTGTCCCAGATTAAGGTGTCATTAGAGGAAGGTTTGAAACAAATTGATTAATTAAAACAGTAATAAGTCACATGGACCAGATGGTATTCACCCAAGAGATCTGAAGGAACTCAAATATGAAATTGCAGAACTACTAACTTTGATACGTAACCTATCATTTAAATCCACTTCTGTACCAGATGACTGGGGGAGCTAATGTGATGCCAATTGTTTTAAAAGGCTCCAGAGGCGATCCCAGCAATTGTAGGCTGGTAAGTCTAACTTCAGTACAAAGCAAATTGGTTGAAACTATAGTAAAGAACAGAATTATCAGACACCTAGATGAACATGATTTATTGGGGAAGAGTCAACATGGTTTTTGTAAAGGGAAATCATGCCTCACTAATCTACTAGAATTCTTTGAGGG